AGGATTGAACTCACAACCCTGGATTTAGCAGGCCAATGCTCAAACCACTGAGCTATCCCTCCCCCAAGGGACAGGGCTGAAGGCTGGGGCAGAATGATGGGGTGATCCCACTGATGTCACCAGTTGAGACCTGGAACCACACCTGGGAAATAAACAGGGCAAAGAACCACCCCAGCGAGAAGGACTGGGATGAGGTGTTGTAAGATACTCCAGACCTGTACTTGGTGTTCAACTCTTGGGACGATTGGACTGTTTTGACTGTGCGGCGGGGGGAGGGTGGGGGTGTCTGTTTTTTATGGTACCAGGACTTCTGGTAATAAATCAACTTTGAGGAAAGACTATGTCCATACTCGGACAGTTGTACTGAGTTTGTGTGAGGATCTAAGAGGGAAACTGAGGTGTGTGACTGGCCAGGCAGCAGGAGGTGCTTCTAAATAGAAAAAGGAAGAAGCACTAATAGCTTCTAAATAAAAAAATATATATAGATCATTGTTTTAATTGTGTGAGTTTTTATTTTTGCTCACTACATAAGTTGCACAACTAGTAAACAATTTTCAAGTACTGACAAAACACCCTGAGTGTCTGTGTGTAACTGCAGCCTGCCAGCCACACTTGTGCTACGCTCTGGCTAACTATCCTTGGTTATATTTCAAGGTGACCCCAAACCACTCCATTCCCAGATTTCCCCCCCCCCAAAATACATCTTCTCTACTGCCCAGCCCTCTCCTGGATAGTACAAATTATGTAAAGTCAGTTTTTTATTTAATAGAAATCATATGCCAGTTTAGTATTTCTAATAGTCCTTCAGACACTTCAATTTAAACACACTGGATTAGGTAAAACAGTAAAAGAAGTTTATGAACCTCAAGGAGAGATATTTTAAATGAGTACAAATTATGTGGCATAAAAGTCAAAAATGGTTACAAGAAAAAGAAAGATAAAATGTTTACTAATGCCTAACTTAACAAACTACATTAGACTGAAAGCAAAGTTTTCCCACCACATGCTTCAGCAGATGACTGACCAAACTCTGATGTCAGAAACCTCCCCCAGTCCAAGGCTGCTTCCTTTGTCTTTCAGGTGCCATGAATGCGGTGGGCAGAGGGAGGGAGGGTATCCTGGGGTGTTTTCCCCTTCTTTTTATAGTCCTGTCCCCCCTTTGAGAAGCATTTCCAGCTGAGATTCAGGAGACAAAAAGTCTATGGGGAAGGATGTTCCCTGCTGCTTTTCCCTAACCTGTTTGACCCTCCTTTATTTCTCCTTCCTGCTTGATGACTGTTTCCTGCTTGAATGCAAATTGAGCAGAGCACACATTCCTGTGTTTGAGGCTGACGTGTCTGTCAACCTCATTTTGTAACATGTAAGTAACACTATACAGTGGAATCTTATAATTTCACACACAATGTTGCAACACACATTCCCCCCCCCACACACACACTTCTAAGGAACCCTTTTTGATTTTTGTTTTCCCTTCCAACAGCTTTTCAAATGTTTGCTTGGGTTTGGTCTGGTCAGTAGTTAGATCTTTTTGAATGCTTCAAACACACTTTAGCAAGTCACAGTGAGTATCATGATCAGAAGCCTCATCAGTAGCTCAGGCCCTAATGTTCAATAGCTGATTGGTAAGTAGCTCTTCCTTAAGAGCCTCAACCATGACAAAAAAGAAAAAAAGGAAATCATGTTGGTTAAAAAATGGGGGCACTTCTGAAAATGAGAAACACGAGGGACTAAGCACAGCTCTGTGCAAGGATCATCCTGTAATTAAATTGCTGGATTAAAACTCAGACTCTCTGTGTGAATTGGGCAAGTTATTCAATATCTTATGAGTCTCAATTCTCCATTTGAAAAATGAAATTTCCCCACCTTTTGTCTGTCTGATCTATTTAGACTGTAGGATCCTCAGGGCAGGGACTGTCTGTGTGTATTGTTGCTCCTTCTTCTAGCATCGGTATCCTGTTCTGACACCAGAATTACCCTCAGCCCAGTGGTGGCAGGTGTCCTGCACATTGCAGATCGGAGGAGAAATTGGTGACAGGGAGTCTGGGTAAACTCTAAGTGAAACTTGTCGTATTTACATATATTCACCTGTTTTGGAATGAGATGGTCACACAGGGTGGGCTCCTCTTCCAGAGGTCTCAGCCCAGCACCAAATTCCCAAGGAGAAACTCTACCTGAAGAATGGATTCTCCTACTGCTGGCACAGCTACCTCCTTCCCAAAGCTTCCCCCCAACACTGCTCCTCATTTGGGGGGTGTCTTTCCTTTGTTTATCCCAGTTGTAGTTCTTCTTTCTCTTTATGTGTCCCCTCCCCACTTTGGGGTCTCTTTCCCCTCAACTTTTCACTTGTCTTCCCTCCTTTCTTACCTCTAATTCTTGTGGAGCTCTTGTTTCTTCATCAAGAACACGCTCTCCCCACCGCTCCCAGTTAGGGCTTATTTCCCCAGTTTCCCACATATACCCAGAGTTTTGTGTCTTTCCCTGTTCAACACAAACATAGAGTCTCTTATTCCATTGTGGGTGCCTCTCTTCCTGCCTCCCAAGTATCTCAGGGGCTTTACCAACCCTTACTGAAACTGTGGGGTCCTCAGGGAGTGGGGGCTTCTCTCCCTCATACAAATTCAGGGCTCTTTTTCTCTCCCAGACATTGGGACTCCCTTCCTCATTTGGCGGAGCAACCATATTTTCAAGGCAATTTTAGTGATGGAGGAGGCCGTGCCGGTGACAGTTCTGGTGGGAGGGGAGTTTCAACATATATGCAACATTTATTCAACATTTCGCAGCTGTAGGGGATGCAGAGGGCTCCCTATGAATCCTAGCAGGAGGGAGGAGTGGCAGTATGTGACAGCCATGCTGGGGGCTGGTCACTGAGATGCACATGGTCATGGCCAGGCTGCTGCCATAGTTCCACACTCCACTGGCTGGCAGCTCCCCCAGGAGCCCAGACTCTGCAAGGGGGATGCAGAAACAAGCAGAACATTTCTGTTGTAATAACCCCACCAGAGTTTCTGGAACAGGCCCTGCCAACAGGGGCACCTGGTTGCCCTTCTCTCGGGGCTTCCCCCCCCACCCATGTTTGGGGATCCCTCTTGTTGTGGGGCTTTTTTCCTTTTTGTCTTCTAATCCCCTCACCCGCAACCTTTGATCCCTGGTCTCAATGGGAACATGGGTGTGACATTGCCAGTGCTGGGCCTCACAGCTACCTCCCCTCCCCCAGCCTGAGGGTCAGAGCTGGGAGATAATGGGCTGGAGGAAGAGAGACAGGAGACGGCTGCTCGCTGCAGGGCAGCAGCAGAGCTAGTGGAGGGGGGCGCGGAGGGGCAGGATCTCCCAGCTCCTCTTGCTCTGAGTCTGGCCCAGCTGACCGGGGAGGGGGCTCCCCCTACAGCCTCCCTGTAGCGATGGGCCTGCTCTGATTGGGTCGCACCATCCAAGGTTACAACAGTGTCAAGTCCAGCCTGATTGGTTGAGAGCTGCTTAGGTGGGACTTAGGGTGGCCAGATGGCTTCCCCTTAAATTCTGGTTGGTCAGTGGAAAGGCTGAAGGGCGGTGCTTAGTGAGGAAGTCTTACCCCAACCCTTAATTTTTATTGGTCAATGGCAGAGGTTTAAAGATTGAGGTGTCTGGGGTATTCACAGTGCTGATTGGTCAAGAGTAAAGTGCAAGGGGTGGGGCTTAGGCAGGAAGTCCCACCCAACACCAGTTCCTCATTGGACAAAGAGTGAAGTTTAGGAAGCGGAGGGGGGAAGGGGCGGTTCTGGCTCATTCTGGGTGCTGATTGGTCAGGGAGAGGGGCTGTAGGGCAGGGACACCTGTCAAAACAGCCCTGACAAACCCTGTTCACAGCGTGATCCCTCTTCTCTGTGTTTCTCTCTCCGGCTGCAGGTTGCGGGATTGTGAGCTCACAGGCGCTTGCTGCGGGGATCTCGCTGCTGTTCTCAGCACCAGCCAGAGCCTCACAGAGCTGAAGCTGAGTGGTAATTCTCTGGGCAATGCTGGAGTGCAGCTGCTGTGCAAGGGACTGAAACACCCAAACTGCAAAATGCAGAGACTGGAGTAAGTAACATTTGGCCTCCTCTGTGTATTCACAGATGTCATCTACGTAAAGCACTTGACAGGGTGAGAGACAGTGGAGGGGACAAAAGGGTTTTTCTCTCTCTCTGCCCCGCTCTGATGGTTCACTGGGACTTTTTACCCCCTGCCTACAGCAAGAGGGGATCTTACTTGTAGTAACTGGGCATCATCTCCCTGAAACCACCAGCACTTCACTCACTCAAGCACTCTCCTCTGGGCTTATGCCAGCCCCAGCTTTACCTTGCAGGCTGACAAGGGGGGTACCCTAATCACTGAGTCCCTTTGAATGGTTCTCCTGTGATACCCAGCCCAACTCTGGCTACTCACATAAATACCAGATCCTCTGCACCCAAAGGTGCCATGTGCCCAAGTTTACCAGATTAACCTTCAATCACTGCTCTGGTACATCACACAGCACTTCGTTTTGTAAAACAAAAGTAGGTTTATTTAAGAAAGAATAAAGATTTATCTAGAAATGAATGAAAGTGATGGAAACAACTGGTTACGACAGAAAACAAAATCATAAAACCATGAACCTGGGTGTACACCTGTAAGTAGTTACCTTTCCTAGCTAATAAAGTAGGTTTTCCCCACAAAGTTCAGTCAGTTGCAGGACTAGCTGGTTTCGTACGAACCAGGATCCAAACATTCAGGACAGCCCGCATGTCAAGGCTGAATCCCCACTCTGGGACTTCGAGTGTAGAAGGTGGGGGCCCGCAAGGATTTTAAAAATTAATACTTGCCACTCCAGGCTTGTATTGAACTGCCATGGTTACAGCTTTCCTCTGACCTTGGGTTGGTAAACACTGCCACCACCCAAATGCAAAGAAAACGAACCCTTGGATCTAGGAAGGAGCATTTGGGAATTCCTTCCTGTGGGGTACGCTCAAGCCCTTTCCCACCCCCCTCCAGGGAAGAGCTGAGAAAGAAAACAAGGGAAATTAGCTGTTGCTACCATCTAATCAAACAATATGCACAAATCTCTTAGGACACCAGAAATTCAATCCTGTTCTTAAAAAAGGTAAATTTTATTAAAAACAAAAAAGAAAGAAAATACATCTGGAATTTAGGCTTCTGCTAGATTTTAAAAGATCAATTGCAAAAACTGAGCAGCCAAACTAGCTTTCTTGGGGATTCCGCTTGAAGGTTACAAGCAAAGAAAAGCATCTGGAGTTAGCACATAGGAGTTCATTAGCCATAAGAAATAAACAGAAATAACCTTAATCGCAATCTTTCAAAACATTCCTGATCTACTTACACATTTGGGAGTTCCAGATAAGTAGTTCTAGGTAAAATCTAGATGATTTATGATCATGCCTGGTTTAAACCTGCTTACAGCATTGCTGCTCTCTGTCTCTGCTCTCCGGAGAACAACCACAGACACAAAGGGAAAGCTTCTTTCCCAATTTTAAAAAGTTCTAGCCTTCCCATTGGCTCTTTTGGTCAGGTTCCCTTTTCTTTCCCTGGGGGACTTTGTTAACTCTTTTACAGGTAAAGCAAGCAGAGAACAGCCAGCAAGAGGGACTTTATAGCTAACTGGCTGAGTGTCCAAAAAAAGGGAGCAACCCACCCACCCCTTCATTTATCACACCCCACAACTCCTCAAGGGGTTTCCTCAGTGATGAATACACTGCACCTTTCCCTATACTCTGTTATAATGAAAAGTGTAGTCTTCTGTATTCATAGCCGGGCGATCCCCTGTCGCACCATCCAAGGGAACATCAGTGCCAATTCCAGCCTGATTGGCTGAGAGCTGGGTAGGTGGGACTTAGGGTGGCCAGGCGGCTGCCCTTTAAATTCTGGTTGGTCACTGGAAAGGCTGAGGGACGGTGCTTAGTGATGAAATCTTACCCCAAACCTAAATCCTTATTGGTCAATGGCAGAAGTTTAAGGATCCGGGTATCTGGGCCATTCACAATGCTAATTGGTGAAGAATGAAGTGCAAGGGGTGGGGCTTAAGTGGAAGCCCCACCCAACACCGGTTCCTCATTGGACAAAGAGGGGGGACTTGGGAAGCGGGGGGGGAGGGGAAGTTCAGGTTCATTCTGGGTGCTGATTGGTCAGGGAGAGGGTTTGTTGGGCAGGGACACCTGATAGAACTGCTGTGACGAGCCCTATTCACAGCGTGATCCCTCTTGTCTGTGTTTCTCTCTCCGGCTGCAGCTTGCGGGATTGTGAGCTCACAAGTGCTTGCTGCGGGGATCTCGCCAATGTTCTCAGAACCAGCCAGACCCTGACAGAGCTGAAGCTGAGTGGTAATAATCTGGGTGATGCCGGAGTGCAGATACTGTGCGAGGGACTGAAACACCTGAACTGCAAACTGTGGAGACTGGAGTAAGTAATATTTGGCCTGCTCTGTGTATTCACAGGTATCCTCTATGTAAAATAAAACCAGGATCCCAACATTCAGGACAGCCCCCACAACCAGGGCCGGCTCTAACTTTTTTGCCGCCCCATGCAAAAAAGAAGAGTGCCGCCCCCCCC